CCTGTATTATACATGCACCCCTTTCGTGTATTAATGGCTGGATGCAGAAAAAACTTAACGTTCACCAGGCTTGTCGAAGAAACATGACATTTGGAATGACATATAAACTGCCATATTTAAGCTGTTGTAAGCACATGTAAGCTGTTTTTAGAAGTACAGCATGAAAGAAGGCATATATAGTATCACAAAATAGCATATTATTGTATGATTTCGATGCCAATGTTTTAAGCAATTGCAAAGAGACTCGGGCATATCTGACGCCGTTTGAACCTCTTCTGGTAAGCAGCTGGTGACGGGAAAGGTATCGGGCATGTTCGGACACAAGGCGAACCTTGCGCCCCGCAAATGAACTCCTCCACAACATACCACGAACCGACACTTTTGTAACATTGCACAGCGTGCAGCGGTGTTTCAAATTCTCGCAAGAAAGATTTACGCCTACCCATGCCTGCATTCGATATGGCAAACCACTCAAGGATAGTAGTGTCGCCGCGATTACGAAGCTTCACCACTTCCACACGCGGTGTGTCGGATCGGTGCGCGCCAACTCGCGTCCAGCCGCGCGGCCTGCCCTCCACCCCGAGTCGAGTTTCATTTCGCCGCAACGTGGCCCCGGCGTGCGCTTGGCGGGCCGCCTGAGAGATGGCGCGGCATTGGCCCGACCGGGCCGTGTCGGCCATTACGGCCCAATAGCGCCCCGGGGTGCGCCGCCGCCGCGCGCCCGAGTGCATCCGGGCTGTGACGGCCCGAGGCACGCACGCCTGAGTGGCGGAGTGTCCTTCGTGTTGTCACGCTCCGGGACGCGTAACCAGTGAGTGTTGGAGTGCCTGTGGTGCTGTCATGTTCCGGTGCACGTAACTAGTGAGTGTCAGAGTGCCTGTGGTGTTGTCATGTTCCGGGGCGCGTAACCAGTGATTGTCGGAGTGCCTGTGGTGTTGTCACGCTCCGGGGCGTGTAACCAGTGAGTATCGGAATGCCTGTGGTGTTGCGATGTTCTGAGACTTTAGGCCAGTGGGTGTGGAAGTGCTATGGTGTCGCGACACCTAGGAGCTGGCGCCCTTGAGTGTCTGAGTGTTTCCGGTACATGCTGCCCTAGGTCGTACGATGGTGAGTGCCGTGGTATCACGACACCTAGGGGCTGGCGCCGTGAGTGTCTGATTGTTTCCGGTACATGCTGCCCCAGGTTGTACGATGGTGAGTGCCGCAATGGTGTTGGTTTCAAAGTGCTCGGTACTGCCAGCGTCGAGTATTGTGGTGTATCTGATACCAGGCGGCCCGCGGGTCACGCCGCGCCGGGCAGGGCCGGGGCAGGTACCTTCTGTGCTTCAGCGTCCCGTGTCTGGCACATGTGGGCGACGGCGCGCTTCTGGTCCAGCAGCAATCCCGCCCCCTCGTCCGACGGAAGTTACAGCAAAGATGATGAAAGACAGAAAAGAAGCACTGTAGCGGAGTCAGAGATCGGCGTCAGCCCAGTCAGCAAAATGTTAAAAATCGGGGCCAGTCCCGCGGGCCACATCTGGGAGATCATTCAGCATATTCAACGTTGAACATTGTGGGAACGGAAAAAACCGACAAGAGTCCTTGCAGCTTACCAAGGAAGAGTGACAGCTGCCGAAAACCCATTGATGTTAAGACACGGGGAGGCAAAAACACGTAAAATGATTGCCTGCAGTCGACGCGTTCCTAAAGCAAAATATCAAATAGCATGCGGGGAGAATAAAGTACTTGGCTACGGTACAGTGAGCTAACAATTGAGGTCTGATCTTTGGTAATATAAAAACTATGCAGCAAATAGTATGTATCATCGAAACAAGGAAATTTAGATAAACTTGATGATTAAGACAATCCAACGTCGTTTCTATTTCGTCAACAAAAGAATAAAGGCTGTGGAGACAGAGCATTTTATGCCACAAAAGTTTGACAACCGCAGTAAACGTAGTGAGGCTAACCAGCGCCAGATGTGGTCCGTTTTCGTCTGCAGTCAACAACGTTCGCATGCAATGCCAGCAGTTTGGACAATAAAAACACGCAACGTTGCGATCAGCACGCTGTACACGTGCTCGTTTCAGGAGCAGTCTTGCGCTACAAAAAATCGCCCGCCGCCGTCTGACATAGTAATGATGCTCCGTCACATCAGCAGTCAGAGGCTGCCTCACGTGATTGCAGGCGTAGTTTGGAAACTATACTAAAGGCAGTCCAACTTGAGTAAATTAATGCGGGGTACGCGCAATAATATGTTTTGCCTGTCGCGGGTAGGTAATTACATGCGCTTGCAGATCTTTCGCGGGCTGATGTCCTCGTTATGCCGACGTTTCGCCGATTGTGCCGATTATAGGGCTAATTGGAACGGACCGGAATGCCTGACGAAGGTCGGGAGGAGTAGTCCAACTCAGCTTACAACCCAAACAAACCCAACGCACAATACAACTATCTAGTGCTTTTCAACTGCGCGCAACTGAAAGGTGTACTCAAAACGCATTTATTATCCGCGCTAGAAGACTAAAACTTCCGCAAGCAAAAACTAGCCGAACGTTGACCTCTCTCATACAGCCCCGTCGTCTAAAGACGGGCGGGAGGCTACACAGGCTATCGGCGGGGCTTCCCGGGGCCTCGTCGGGAGGAGACGGTCTCGAGCGGAGCATAACGGGGCCGCTGATACGCCATATATATGCAGAGAGGGCCATCGACTGAGCGTCACCGAATCGATAACTCCCTGTCATCGCCAGCTTCTGTTGCTGGAGCCGTTCTCTCGGTAGCGGGCAACGCGCCATCACATTATAGCCGCAGTCAGCGGGCTAGTTACCGAGGGAGTTATATCGGCGACGGGCCAGGCACTCCTAAGTGGTATTTCACGATTTATTTGTACAATATCAACGGAGATCAGCACGCGTCGCAAATGAGAAGTCGGTGAAGTGATGGTACATTAAGATCATGAGAGCGTTGTCACATGTACCATGATATTTTTACATTCATATGATATATATACACATATATATATATATATATATATATATATATACTGCCACGGCACTGCTGTGGTATATATATATATATATATATATATATATATATATATATATATATATATATATATACTGCCACGGTACAAACACATGACTGGCAGCAGTACCGTGTGCAGGATGTACTCACACATGACTCGCAGCGGGCCCGTGCGCAGGCTGTACTCACTGCACACACACACACACACACACACACACACACACATATATATATATATATATATATATATATATATATATATATATATATATATATATATATGTATGTATATATATATATATATATATATATATATATATATATATATATTCACACAGCTTGCTGGTATGCGTCACCACCATATAGTCTGCAGCACCTGAGCAAACTCTGTTTCTGCTCTCTCTGCCGCACTCATTTGCGTCACCCGGCTAAAATACAGCTGTTTGAACCTCAACTTTTGTCATCAGCAGTTCATATGCAGGGCCGAGCACACTGTGCGCTCGTTAAGCGCAAACGTCTGCAACCTTAGCTCGTAAACGATGCAAATAATCTAGATTGTCAGACCAATCGTTCAGATGAGCCAGCGTTTTCTCCATGGGCGGTTTTCGCTGCCAGTAAGGCAAAAACGCTGTGATTATGCCTGACGTGCATCAGCACGCGTCCTGTGCGCAGCACACCTGGCACCCGCACATGCAGAATTGGGAAGGCGCCACCGCTGCCTACCCGTCTGCGGGTGCCCGTGCTGCGGCCGGCCCGCCTCACCGCTGATCCGCCACCTGACTCCTGCCAGCTGAACCGGACGTTCGATGCCGAGCTAAACGACGTGCGGTGGCGCATCGCGGGCGCCTCTCGTTATGGTCAGGAGATTCGATTCGATCAGTCCGGTGATGAGTGGCTGCTCGGCAATGAGCTTCCAGACCAGCTGATCGTGTGCGCTTGAGGTTGAGGGCCGGCGATTCCTGCTCCATGCCGGTGAGTCGAAATGTTCTCAGCTGCTTGTGGTCAACGTGTCGATGCCCGCACCTCTCAGTGGCTGCCGCCTTTTCCCGTCCACTTTCCTTCTCTCTCCCACAAGACGGACAGGCCTCCTGGTACTAATTATATGATTATCTAGACAGTTGGCGTTACGCCTGCGATCGATAACAACTTGGAAGCCCCTATCAGCAACGGGAACAGGCCCTGACGCTCGAACGGCATTGGCACGGTCGGCCGGGCTCCCATCGCCGGCCGGACTTCCCTAGAGAATGCTTTCATCAATGGCAGATGTTAGTTCGCCCGTTCGCACAGATGGTCCTCCTGCTGCTGGTGAATATTGCGACGTTGCAGCGTCCGACGGGTGTTGCAGGGGCGCTGCCTGTGCGCAGTTCGATTTCCTCAATTCCGCCCGGGCTTCCAAATTTCATTCAGATGCGCGTGATTTCCAAATGAGCGCTAGTGCGCGACTTTAAATGGTTGGATAAATAAATTTGTCTGTTTTTCAGTAACGCCGGTCGTCAGTAAAAAATGGCTGATCAGTCCTCGTGAAATTAATTTTCCTGAGCCTAGAATGCAGTTGCTCTAATCACCTTTTTTGGCTACAGCTTGCAAACGTACCCGCCCATTTCCAACATACTTGACTCTCAGCAGTGTCGTGTGTGGGCTGTACTCACACATGACTGGCAGCAATACCGTGTGCAGGCTGTACTCACACATGACTCGCAGCGGGCCCGTGTGCAGCCTGTACTCACACATGACTCGCAGCGGGCCCGTGTGCAGGCTGTACTCACACATGACTCGCAGCGGGCCCGTGTGCAGGCTTTACTCACACATGATTCGCAGCAGTACCGTGTGCAGGCTGTACTCACACATGACTCGCAGCGGGCCCGTGTGCAGGCTTTTCTCACACATGATTCGCAGCAGTACCGTGTGCAGGCTTTACTCACACATGATTCGCAGCAGCACCGTGTGCAGGCTTTACTCACAGGTGACTCACAGCAGTACCGTGTGCAGGCTGTACTCACACATGACTCGCAGCAGTACCGTGTTGCTCGTGCTCTCGCCCTCGGAGTTGGCAGCGCGGCACTGGTACGGGCCGGCCGCGAGTCGAGAGACGTTCTGCAGCACCAGGCTGCTGGAGCTGACGAGAACGCCCGCCCGACGGTCCATTGACACCTCCGCCCCCTGTGAAGCGAGGAGGGTTACCCTAGCCCCCGATGGCGGAGGGAGCCGCTGAGTCATCTTGACCCCGTGAAGAGCTTAGGCATTCATCCGTGCTGAGTCATCGAGATAATTGCCGGTACAGTACCCGCAGCAGCACTGAACGCTGTAATGGGCTTGGGACTTCACGAAATATGTGTTTACATGACGACCAGCCTGGTAAAGGGCTCAACCATCAAATTCGGCGCAATTACAGGGGGATGGGCTGGAATGTCTGACACATTATTGACAATACGATGTATATTAGTGTTACATTATACCACATAGTGTAATGTCACAAACCCTACAACACAGCTGTGTCGAGTTTGACAACACCAAAGCCGTAAGTGACACGGTACAAGACACAGTGCATAAAACTCTGTTTGATACGTCACTGGCTCGTCTCGGTACAGAATCATGAATAATGTAAACAGCCGATGGAGTTCATGATGTGGTTGATACGAGACGCCTGAAATATCAACAATTCAGATTTGGTACCCAATGAAGCTGACCAAATGTTTTCGTCGAAAATTTCCATAAAAGATATTGGGGTCAGATGTAAGCGCATTCTTGGTAGGTGGAATCATGTGGTAAGCCAGGGCAGTCAAGGGATGCTTGGCATGTGGTTCTGAGTTCAACAAGCTAGAATATCCGACTTAGAGTCAAGAAAGGTTAGACAAAGCAGGTAAGATTCTTACCGAAAACTGTCACGTTTGCCAAACGGAACATTGACAGCTAGAATGTCAGCAGGGTTTCACATTTTGAGATGGGAGGCTGCATCAGTGACATGCTCAGACGACTTCACTTCTTCATCAGTTAATCTGACTACGTGCTGGGATACAGTCTGGCCCGAGCGACACAAGCGTGGAGCCAGCAGACCAGCGTTTGCTTCCCAGCCAGCGTGCTGAAGGCGGGCGTGCCCCTGTCCCTCCGTCTCCAGGTCCTGGGGCCAGGCAGTAACCTGAAGCAGTGCCCCCCCCCCCCCCCCCCTCCTTCTCATCTCCTCCCCAGACTCCGGACCCAGTCAGCTTGAAGCGCAGAACCGGGGTCGCTAAGGCCGCGTGGACCACGAGGGATGAATGCAACTGTCTGCAGCTAAGCAGCTGATGAAGCAGTGCAAGACTCTGGGGAAATCAGCGCCGAGCTAGATATGGATTCTCATGATGCCACCGGAAACAACGAGATAACAATTCATGCTTGTAGGGCTAGGCTCATTGTACGTAGATACTGATTTAGGCGGACTATGAAGTGTTGAAGATGACAATATTTCCAACAGCTGTGTTGGAAACTGTAAGGTAATTCCAACAGCGATTTTTGTTGTTATTTAAAACTGTGATGAAACGCCAACAGTGAACTGATGTTGGGGTTAAAGTGATGTCCTGGAAATTGAAATGTATGCAGTAGTCCATAATAGCAGTAAAAGCTTGATTACAACCAACATTTATCTGTAAAAGACTTCCGATTCAACGTTGCAATTCCTTTGGGTCTCAGTTAATGGATTCCAAGTCGTGTCGATTGACAGCCTGCAGCGGATATTTCACAATCATCCAACAGCCAACGGCATTACAGAGTTAAGCAGCATTGCTGTGGTGTGACTCATACGTCGCTCAGAAAACAAATGTGCTCGATTTGATCATTCTAACAGCCAAGTAGCAAACGCCCATCTCAACTGTTCGGGTCCCATCTAAAGGGACCTGCGTCCCCACTGGACTAGAGCACACCCAGCTGACCCTGCAACTGCATCTTCGCTGTTTCTAAACAAGCCGCTGCTTATTAAGGAGAGCGTCTGTCTGGGTCCACATCGCCCGGCGTTCAGTTTACTGGGCGCCGCGGCGCCGACGCCGCCGGTGCGCAAGGCTTACCTCGTGGAGCCAGACGACGCGGCTGGCCGGCGGGTTGGCGTGCACCAGGCAGTCGAAGTACACGCCCATACCCTCGCGCACGTTGTCGGCGCCTATCATGGGGCTCAGCCGCAGCGTGGTCGTCGGCGGGACTGGAGAACACGTGATCAACGATCAGCCGGTGACGTCAGCGCTGCACTGGCCGACGCTTGGGAACGACCGACGGCTTTTTCTGCATTCGTGACGCACACGAACACTGAGGAGTTTAGGCGGCGTGGTTTGGCATCACAGAGCATTAGACTAAATCCTTCTGGAGGCGGACAGCGATTGCCACTGATCGTGACACACACTGTCAGACACGACCAGCTGCGCGATAATGAGTCATTTGTCAACTGTCCATCGATAATTGTGCCACTATAATTCCGTAATTGCTTTTGGCAAAGACACATTCGACCCCATGCAATGCTACACGGTTAGACTGTTGCGTCATGCGATGTGACGATATGTGACGCTAACTGTGACGCAAAGCCTGCCATCGTACCGCGGCTTCCATCCCATCAGAAAAAGCGCAGACATTTCTTGCCAGACCAATGGGCTCCAGGTGGAAACATCAACTCGATGATGAGATGCATTTGCAGCTTCGATCCACAAAAACATCCAAATTCCTCGTCGCGTGAGATGGAAAGGCGTCTGATAAGGACCGAGCTCTCGGCGCCTGCTGCCCGGGGAGGGAGTGTTTACGCCTGCGAGCGACTGTCTCAGACTTGGAAGCGATGGTCCAATCCGCCTTCCAATGTTTCAGCATTTCGACATTTCAGCGGGAGCGTAAGCTTCTTGGGACTGCATTAAGCCCCATTAGCAGCATCGCGATCGGCTCAGGGAGCTGGCGGAGCTGAGACAAGTGCGTTGCGCGTGGTGTGTTTATGGTCAGAATTCAAACTGAGAACACTTATGCGCGTCTTACAATGTAGCTGGAGATAAAGCATTATCGCCGGTCAACAGGCCAACATCCAGGGACATACCGGGATCACTACACGGTTCGTCTAGGAGGGCGCCGTTGAACGCCTGCTTTTGCTTTTACACCGTACTAATTTCGTTCCCTCAATATTATTATTGAGTCTATCAACGAGAATATATCGACCAACCGTATGAAATCAACATATTTCCGGATAACATTGTTAAAAGCCACACTCTTGACAAGGATGGCCGTTTCGTATTTGCGGTCTTGGTGTTACGCCAATCAGGTTCTCGCTAATTATTTCAGGCGCTCTAGTTCACGATTACAGGGAACGAAACAAAAACGACTGCCTAACTTATTTGACAGCCGGCAGAATTTGGGCTAACCAGCTCCAACTCACGGCGGGGCATACAAATATTTGCGTTGCACAAATGCAAAGGCGAATCCGGCGACGGACGCATGAAAACGAGCTGCTTCGAATCGATACTTCAAAAGAGCACGTGGAGGTATTTTTGTGAAGACATTCTCTAGGGTCGGTCAGATGAATGCGTGGCCCCGTGAATTAATCACCGGGGGACATTACGTACAGCAGCAAATTTATGGACCAAGCCAAATTGAATGGTCCACAACACAGCGGAGACTAACAGGCCAGACCTCGGAAGCAAGGGACAACACAATGCCGGACATTCCCTTTCGTAACCGGCGGCATTGAGACAAAGATCACGTCTTGCAGAGAGCAGATGGTTTCCCGTGTACGTAACGGCCCCCTACACATGGAAAGCAAAAGGTGCCCCTCCTCCTGACCGCCGTAGAAGGCGGTTGTACCCATAACTCCCGAGAGAAGTGACTGTTCCTATCACCGCCTTCAAGAGCGTATCTTGTCTCACTGGGCGTGGCCGGTATCCCTCCTCCTCGCCTCGTTTACCCCTGACGCCCGTGGGTTAAGACCGACCTCGCGACCTCGTGGGGACTGGCCGTAGCCCTGACTTCGCCACTCACAGCGGATATTGAGCCGTCTGTCGTCCTGTATGGGTGAGGTGCCGGTCATGCGCGGGTTGTGCGCCCGGCAGCTGAGGGTCTTCCCCTGGTCGTCGAGCTTCGGCCGCAGCTGGAGAGTGCTGCTGCTGCTGCCGCCATCCGGTGACACCTGCCGGAGGTCAAGGGTCGGCGCCGGGTCAGCGGTCATGGCAGGTCCGGGTCACAAGTCAGGGCCGGATCGGACCAGAAAACGTCACGGCCGGTCTGGGCCGGGCAGCTTTGATTGGGTGCCGGTCCGCTGGTCTAAACCGCCCAACGAAGAGTGAATCTTCATAATCATGGGATCGCACGGGTTTCCCGAGTTATTCTCACAACCCCTAGAATCAAGCCACTTCGGTTAGTGAGGCATTCCACCAGAAGTCTTAAAGGAACCCTCTGATGAGCTTATTTGTATGCAGAGCTTAGAAGTTTCGCCGAACCATTAAGATACCAAAATGAGGCGCGGTTGTTCTATTAACGTTTGATGGACCACAAAGCACGTGCGTCAAAACGCCGGCGGGCGACAAGCCCTCCACCATGTGTGGTTCAGCTTCGGACGGACCGTGCCGTTGTACCTTCGACAGCCCGGCGCCCGGGGTGGAAGTGAGGGGCGGGCTGCCTCTACTCACATGCTGCCTGGCGTTCACCAGCGCCGCGCCGTCCAGGTACCACGTGAGCACGGCTGGCGGCCGAGAGCCTGAAGAGCTGCACACGTACTCGTACTGCCGACCCACCGAGAGCGCGCCGCTCTCGCCGTCCAGCTGCACACGCAGTGGCCGGACTGAAACGGCACGCGGCGAGCGGCTGTTAGCAGCGGCTAGACTGAAACGGCGCGCGGCGGGCGGCTGTTCGCAGCAGCCGGACTGAAACGGCACGCGGCGAGAAGCTGTTAGCAGCGGCTAGACTGAAACGGCACGCGTCCGAGCGGCTGATAGTAGCGGCTAGACTGAAACGATACGCGGCAAACGGCTGTCAGCAGTGGCTGGACTGAAACGGCACGCGGCGAGCGACTGTCAGCAGTGGTTGGACTGAAACGGCACGCGGCGAGCGGCTGTTAGCAGCGACTGGACTGAGACGGCACGGGGCGAAAGGCTGTCAGCAGTGGTTAGACTGAAACGGCACGCGGTGAGCGGCTGTCAGCAGTGGTTGGACTGAAACGGCACGCGGCGAGTGGCTGTCAGCAAGTGGTTGGACTGAAACGGCACGCGGCGAGTGGCTGTCAGCAGCGGCCGGACTGAAACAGGGCACATTCGGGAAGGTACTGGCGACGCCCAGCAGTGACGGAACTGGAACGGCCACCAGCGGGAGATGGACGAATGGATGTCAGCGGCAGCCGTATTAAACAGAGTTTGGCAAAGATGTGATCAAATCTATGAAGCTCATTTACTCTCTGCTTTATTATTTGAAATCCTGAGCCCCGAAACAAACTAGAAACTGCATGATGTCCACGTGTGCGAATGATGTGTCATCCCATGTATTACAAGATATAAGACACTTGAGCTACTAGTTTCGTGAAAATAACCTCGATTATTCGCACGGCATGGATGACCCAGTCAGGTGGAGACGAGCCGCCAAGTAATATCAACATAGAGCCAATGACAGAGCCAAATCCCGACCACAGCCTCCTCGTCCTGCGACAGCCGCTGATGCCATTTTATTGTGTTTTTACTGCCCCAGATTGAATGGAATCCCGCCGCTGCTCCAATACTCGACATCTTAACAACAGATTCTTTCAAGAAAGACAGTGCTTTGAAGACAAACGAAAGGCGCCCGAAAGAGATACAGCGGTAAATCGCTGCTGATTGGTCGTTGGCGTCCCACTGGCGAATCCGATATTGGTGGCAGGCGAGCCAGCACCCGGGGGCGGCGCCGGTCGATACGCACGTGGCGCCATCCGTACCGCAGGGGCGCAATTTAAACACACCTTTAACAGCAGAAGCTAGCTCAGAGGGCGAACGGCTGGCACGCGCCGGCAATCACGCCCCGCGCCCGGACGTCATTTACCACCCAGCGACGATGAGTGGAAAGTTCCACGTCATAAAAACCACACCCGCATCAAAGAAAATTCCTCCTAAGCCAGCGCGCCCCCCGGAGCCGCGTCATCGATAACGAAAAGAGCGGCGTGCGTCGAGCACGGCGTTCGTTCGCGGTCCCTCGTCAGTCAATCAAGCTGGCGCCGGGGGCCGGTAAACAGACGGGGCCGGCCGTCTGGAGGGGCGGCGCGCGCCCTCAGCGGCGCTCCGACGCTAATTAATGAGGGCCGGCGGACTTCCGCCGTGACGCCACGGCCGCCGGGTCGATACCGGCTCCGTTCACGGGGGCAGGACCCCGTCTCATGGCAGAGTCGGACCCCGTCCCTGTTCAGATGCGGTCCAGCTCTCTAATTGAGGCGTCTCTGGTCAGACGGGGTCCGGCCGGACGTCGTCTGACAAGACGAGGTCCGGCCGATGAGAGCCGGACCCCGTCCCTGGTCAGATGGGGTCCAGCTATCTCACTGAGGCGTCTCTGGTCAGACGGGGAACGGCCGGACCTCGTCTGACGAGACGTGGTCCGGTCTCTGAGAGCCGGATCCCGTTCCTAGTCAGATGGGGTCCAGCTCCCTAAATAAAGCGTCTCTGCTCAGACGGGGCCCAGCCGGACCTCGTCTGACCAGAGATGGACCGCGCCTGCCAGGGAGACGGACCCCGTATGGCCAGTGAGGCGGACCCCGTTTGAACAAGGAGAAGTACCTCGTCTGAGAGGAGAGCCGCTTCCCATCTGGCCACGAAGCTGGATCCAGTATGGTCAGGGACCCGGACCCCGTCTATCCAGGGAGCCGGATGCCGTTTGCCCAGAAAGACCGACCCCGCATGGCCAGACAGAGGGACCTCGTTTGGTCAGAGAGATGGACCTCGTCTGACAGAAGAGACGGACTCCATCTGAACAGGGAGACGGGCACCATTTGAACAGGGAGAGGGACGTCACCTGGCCAGGGAGACGGACTGTACCAGGACAGGGAGAACGAACCCCACCTGACCAGGGAGACGGACTGTACCAGGACAGGGAGACGAACCCCGCCTGGCCAGGGAGACGGACCATATTTGTCCAGTGTGCCGGACCCTCGTTGGGAAGAGAGAAGGAACCTTGCCTGGTCGGCCAGATGCTGTATCGTTCAAAGTGTCCGGCTGTTAAAGAAGAGACCGACATCATGTTTCGTCATGAAGCCCTACTGCGTGATAGTTAGATGCAGTCATTTTGTAAAACCCCAGAAAATCATAAATGTCTATGAACCTTCCAAGGTGTTTCATCGAGACACCTTGGAATATTGAAATAATTTTTTTTTAAATTTTGCGTTTAAATTTCTAGCTTATTTCTAAATAAACATACCGCTTGAGAACAATGTATCCTTCTCAAGTGTTCACGACCCAGTTCAGCATGCCTGAATCCGATTTACGTATTAAAGAGAATGTTTCACATTCGAAGATATTGAAGCAAGCATCAGATATGATGAAACAAGCTAACTTTGAACTATCGGTATGCCTTTTAAATGGAAAAGATTACTCTAGACAGTACAATTATCTGTTGAGTAAATATGCCCCGCAATGTGTTATGACTTGATTATGTTATCGTGCCTTGCACAGCATTGATTGAGGGCCAATTGACGACCGTTATGTCTGGACATCGCGCTCACGAATTTTAAATATAAGCACCTCGACAATTATATTTTCCTTGGCCTTGATCACCGCATGGTTTATTAAATGGACGGATTTGGCGTTATTATGACGTCGTAAATGCCGAGATGACCTTGAAATACTCCTCCCGACATACCTTGCATCATTCTGACGGGCGTGTAGTTCAGAACCTAAAGGGAATGAGGTCTTAAGAAGGGCAGGATTGTGAGCAGCACCGAAAGGTCTTCAAGACGGCTATGTCAGTTCAGAACCCTATATAAATGTGGGGCACTTTCTTTAAGCACGGGCTTGCCAGATCCGCTATCGCCCGGAGCACCATACGACTTCCCCACTGACTCATGATTCTCATCCGGATCCAGCGCATTGTCCAGCCGGACGGAAACTGCATAGGGCATCTGTCCAGGCACCCGCACCCGATCTCGGACCGTACGACACGTGTACTATCGGCCAGCACTGACACGGCACGGCATTGGACGAGGGCTCTCAGGCACGTCCAGCGAACGGCCACGCCCTGCAAACGGCGAAAGTTCAGTCGAGATCGTTACTGCAGGTCAACTCGCTGAGCAAGGCGCCACCGAACAGGTCAGCACCGCGTGGTAGAGGCGCCCGGCGGTGCGATAGTGGGCAGCTCATTGCAGCTCGATCCCAGAGAACCGGCTGGCAATCCCACGCAGTGATTAAAACTTACTAATCCCAGTTGGTAGCCGCCGCAGTTAGCAATGGGCGCGCCATGTGCATATATGTATATGTCTTTCTTCTCTCTCTCTCTCTCTCTCTCT